CTAAATCAGAACTTCAAACTCAAATTAAAATGCTTTAATAAAAGTATAAACCATCTTAGCACTGCCAGCCAAGCTAACCTCTACAGTCTCCATTCATATAAATCCAAGAGAAAAATGTCTGATTTTCTGATTAAAATGGGAGAAAATCGACAAAAAGTGAAGCATTCCTGGTCAATAAAATCAGTAGAGAAATATATTAATATTCCTGCATATGTTTACGTTTTTGCAGGAGTTCTGAGATTTACATTTTCCTCACCTATCTTCTGTCCACAGCTGCTGAACGCCAGACAGATCCGAGCTAAACGGGGATAAGGTGTGCTAGGATGCAAAAAATGGTTCTTGTTCAGAAAAGATTAAATAATAAATGTACATATTAAATGTTGGCATGTTAACACCCCTTACGGTTGCATTCATTTCACAGCAAAGCTTAGCTTGATGAAAGTTCAGGCAATTCTGACAATCTTTGCTAAGCTCAGCAAGCCGAGTTTGACAAGCAGTAAATGCCCCTCAGACAGAGGATAAACCCTTTTGATTTAGGTAACAGCATGTTTTTCCTCCTTACCCCACTGTTAATGGGGATCAGAGGATTTAATCCATTTAATCATTCTGTTTAATGAGCACTCTCTGTGCAGGTAAAAAGGGACCAAAGCTATCTTCACTTAACATGTTTATTTGCCAATTGGGGAAAAAAAATTGAAAAGTGACCCATTTCTGTAGAAACATCATCGGCACCTTCCTCCTCTGCACAGTGCACGACTTACGCGGAGAAAAACAACCTCGTGCTTTCATTTTTAGCCTTTCAGAAGGAATCTCCAGCCTCCTTCAAGGTTGAACCTGAAAAGCTTCATGAATGAAAAGAGGAAAACTAAATCTATTCAAAACCGTCGGTCAGCTCAGGGCATTCAGACTGGGAATGTTGGGAGCAATTTAATCAAACTGAGAGGCGGATCCTTTAGTGTGCTTCGTTTGGCCGAGGGAGAATGTCAGAAACCAACGTCTAATGCTGTTGACGATACACTTGGAAAATAAAAACTTTAGTTCGCCTCCAGAGATGACTTAAAATCGGTGCCTGACACGCGGATTCAGCTTCTGCTTTGTGCGTAAAGACTGGAGACAGACCAGAGCTCAGCACAAATAACACGAGACGTGCCGTGTTTTGACTCTCGTCTGCCACCAAAGTCTCTGTCCTGCCAGGATGACAAAACACAGCTTCTCACATTTCCAACACGGAAAAATAAATACGTTCAGACTGCGGCGCTCCACAGAACTTCCAGGGTTAGAACAGTTCTGAGTTTTACTGGGATTTTTTTTTGCTTTTCAGTTAGTTGTAATCAGTTTTTAGAATGTGTCTGCCACTTTTTTAGTTTGATGTTTTTTTAGTTTTTTCATTCTTTTGTTCACTTTTAGGTGAAAAATTCAAAAAGGTCAAAGTGTCATGATGATGTATACATTAACCAGGTAATGAATACTCTATTGAAGCGAAACTGGAGTTTTCTCCTACATTTGCTGTCGCCATTTTGTGGACTAACAACATTATGGAGAACTGTAATTTTCTGACAGCTGATACAAACTGTGTGTTGGAGAAGAAATCAATTTGAAAGGCTAATGTAACGATTCAAACACAAAAACTAAGAATATTTTTGTTTTAGTTAGTTTCATAAACGCATGATATGCTTTCAGTTAAAGTTCTCCCCCATTAATTACTGTTTAACGAAAATGTTTTCTCAGTTTTGGGCCTTTAGCAGAGGAAGAACATCCTGCAGTCCCGGAGTGGCCAGACAAACTTCCCTCAGCCTGGCTAATGGACGCCGCGGCTGTTGTTTACTGAAGACTCCCTGCAGAGGAGACTACCTGACCCATGTCTGCAACCAGTGAGTGGTACAAATGGCAAACATCTTTTGGAGTCATTATTTATGCAGGAATGCCCTTGGGAGTCTTTGCACTTGTTTACACAGTCACAGCACAGTCCATTCATGACGGCCCCGAGTAAATGAGCCGCTTGCGACCAATTTGTCCTGGACGACGAAGCTTTGGGGCAGTTGCTTTGTGTGCATGTTGGGGGCTGGGGGGTAAAGAAAGGAGGTTAACGCAGCACTGCAGCGGCGTCGGGAAGCGACCTGGAACTACGGACACACGAGTCCCAAGGGTGCTAGGAAGCACAGTGTCACATTCGGAAATAAATGAGCACATTTTTTTTCCACGAGGAAAGCCGCGGACTTTCACCTTTGAAATGGGCTGTTTGTTTGCCCGAGGACGAGGACGGTGGTCAAAGTTACCGAGCGCTGCCTTTCGCATAAAACCAAAACCAAGACGGGAGTTTTATGGAGGTTAAAGTGAAAGGCAAAAGGGAAGAAGAAGAAGTTTATCTGGCATCTGCACCAAGGAATCAGAGTGACAAGGGAGCCATGAACTTCAACAAGAACTGAACTTCATGGAAGTTTGTTTGACTGAAGTAAAGTTATTTTCACATAAAACAATGTAAAACAATCAGTAACTAATTAGATACACTACTATTAAAGCAGCTTCAGAGTCTACAGTGATAAAATCAATAATACTTAAAATATTTCAGTCAAAAAAGAAAAAAAGATGTTTATAGGTTTAAAAAACATCTTAATTGCTGTGGAATAAGTTTTATTTCCCACCAAATTATGGAAAATTTTAGTTCCAAGCATCTTCAAACACGTCCACAACAGCTTTCTGAGCTTGAATTAAAGTAATTTTCCACTTCGTCACAACTTTGTTTGTCTATTGAAGCTCAAAGCAGAAAAGCATCACAGCTGAAGACAGATTATATGATGCTAAAGGAAACAAACTTCACATGTTTTGAGGGATATTTTTCCCCTGAATTACTTGTTCTCACTGTTTTTTTTTAATTTTCATGCCGCTAAGACTGATGTTGTTGCCATCTACTGGCCCACATCAGTATTACAGTGTCTGTTTTTTAATTAGATTCACAAGGAGCATGTAGTTTTTTTCTATTTAACAAAATAAGGTTATTCATTTTCTTCATTTGAGTTTGTTTATATTTTATTTGTCTAATTTGAGGAAAAAGGAACATCAACACTAAGATTCACAGATAATACTTAAATACAAGCTTATTGAACAACTTTTCGCTGATTTACTTCACGTTGTCAAGTTTATAAACACTGTCCAATAAGATGCCTTCTTTAATTTCTTCTGCAGAACAAGTAATGTAAGAGAACAAAAAAATACTGAACATTTCAAAATTAAAACAACTTATATTGGCTTTCATAGATACTTTAAAGAATTTGTTTCTGTGGGTTTAATGAGCCAAAAAGCAGCAGCACCAGAAATCCAAATATAAGTTGAAGCAAACTGGATTCTGCTGCTGTTTAAATATAAAACAACTTTACCAGACAAATGCATAAAAGTTTTCACACAAGGATTTAGAAAAACATCCAAGAAACTTCTGAATTCATTTAAAGGCTAATTTCACCACATATACAAGAAAATAATGAAGCAAACAGCATCAAGGAACCTTGATAAGTTCTTCCTTAAATAGTCTAGGTTCTAAAATAAAGACATTATTTTTTTATTTTACTTTAAATTTTCCAAGAATTAATTCAAAGCTGCCCTCATCTGGTGGTTTTTGGCATTTTTTGCATTTCTCTACATCTAAGGTAAGTTTATAAATGTGTTTTCTGTTTCAGCTTTCATTTGCCTTCATCTGACTTCTGATTTAGAAGAGGTGTAAAAGGCGATGAACTTCAGGTTTTTGATAGAGTGGAGCAGTAAAAAATGTTCAGAAATGTGGTTGAAAGAGGGCAGAGAAGAAAGAAAGGAAGGAGAGATGAGATAATTTAACAAGCTCCCTCTTAAAGTACTCCAAAACCTCCAGAGTTTAATTGCTGGGAGGCAGCATTATCCCCAGCAACACCGCTCTGGTCTCTTGGCCGGGATTCGGTGGGTACCTGCAGTATCCACTCCCCACACAATGCAGCGCCCACTGAGCCATATAATTCTCTCAGGCCCTCCTCTTCTGGAGAACCACATTCAATCCCTTTGTCACACAGGGAAAAATCTCCTCTATGTTTTTTTTTTCTTTTTCTTTTTGTCAGGGTACGTACTTCAAATAAGGCCAATCAGTAGGTGCCGTTATGCGTGCACGATGCTACAGGGAGCCACGAAGAAAGGGGAAGCGCAGAGGAAGAGTTAAATAAAAGGCCCGTTTGATTTGCGGCTGTGAAATTTGGGGTTGATTTCCATTCTTCCGCAGAGCTCCCTGGAGCGGCCATATTTCTGTTTATGTTTAAATGCGAATCCATCAGATGGGCGGTTAGGTTCCTGCTGAATCATCCCACTCTCCCTTCAGAAAGCGCGAGGTTACTTTTGAAGCAGCTGCCTCGTAGGAGAAAACAAGGAACTAATGCTACTTTCTTGCCGACTTCTCTTTCAAGTTGCCCTTGAAAAGAAAATTACAACAGCGGCTTTGATGCAACTCTGACATGCTTCAAGATATTCTCCATAAGTGCAGACACATACTTGATTATCATTCCAATGAGCCTGCGCCGACGACGTCTTTCAGCCGTCTGAACACAGAAAGCGTTCCAGCGCTCTGCAGAGGGACGTGGAAACAGCGGCTCATTGCACCAAATGGCAAAAGAAGAAAAATGATGGCTTCTTTGTTGTCCATTGGTTTGTAACTTAAGTCAATATAGCATTTAGAACCCTGCTGAGACATCTTTTAATTAAAAGATGAGCTTAATAATGAGAAATGACAGAGGCGGTGTACTGAGGAAGATTACTTGGATTTTTTGCTTTGTGTGGTTCCCTGTGTGCAAAGAAACTTCTTCTGCCTCATGTTCAGTGCTAGAATGAAAATACCAACTGTGCACATTTTTCCCCTCCTTTTGTTTTACACTTTCTTCACAGCTTGCCAATTATGTCTGCTGCAATGTGCTTGGTGACATTCTGTTGTCAGTAACGCGTCTTGTTCTGCTGTGCATAAACCACCCACAACAGGAGAGTTTGTGTCCTACCTGTTGGGAGGCTCTAGGAGTTGGAAATCAGTTGTCACTGCAGAGATCCGAGTCCTGGGTGAGCAGGGTCGCTGTGAGGAAAACAGGATAAAATATGAAACCTGCAACATAAAATAAGGGACTTTTCTAATCACTCAACAGGGAATGTTTCACATTCGTGTTTGTCAGTGAATCCTCCATGTTGGCTGTTTCCTACATTCTTGCTAACATTTCCCATGTTTGTTGTATTTTTTACATGCTAACTCCCCTCTTTTACATCCTTGCTAGTCTCTTCTTCTTGCTTTTTAGTGTCTCCACTCATTTGTTGTCTGATATGTTTGCAGTGTCTCCCCCACACTTTGCAATTCAAACAGGATTTCCACAACATTCTTCCTCCTTCCTTTCAGGCCAACATTGAACATGTCGATGCTCTCTTGTCAATGTGACAAAAGTTTCAAAAGTCAATGGAGTGTAAATACGATTAGAAGGCACTCTACGTAATCAATAAAAGGATAATTATCTATTTTTAATTTGACGATAATGCTAAAGTTGCCTTTAGACTTCAACCTCAAACCATCCGTTTCACCTTCCTGAACTTCTATAAAAAAAAAAACAACAGATTAGGACATCGAAGATTTTTATTTATTGTGGCAGTTCTTATTTGAAAAGTTTTAGTTTCCTGAAAAACAAACAAAATAAGTTGATGTTTTTATGTAATTCCCAATGAAGAGACTATTGACTGAGTTTCAATCAGGTAGTTCTTCCACGTAGGAGCATCTGCTGTTTTTAAACACGGCACGTTGTCATCAAGACAAGATATTTGCAAAGAGTGACTGTTGGGAGATTTCTGCCTTCAGGGCTTTTCTGGCTGAAAGGTTTCTGGAATCAGACAAGTTTGTGTACGATGAGACAAAAGTCACAGCAAAGACCAAGCAGTAGTAGCTGGAGAGATGAAATCCTTCACCGGAGATCTGAACGACTCAATGCACCATTTTTATTATTTCCCTTTTTTGTTTCAGTGCTACACACTGAATGTCTCTCTGTAAATGTCAATAATTCCTCAAAAAGTACGAGATTTTCTAGATTTGAATGTATTCGTGTCGCTTTATAATGTACAGTCAGTACAAAAACTTTTCGTTTGGTAAATAATGAGTAAAAAAGCTCCAACTTCCCTTCTGCTTTTCCTCCAAATCTCAGGCTGTAAATCTTTAAAAACTGCTGACAAATTCATAGTTTCATCTTTTTAATTATTTCTTAATATATCCAAGGACTGTTTTTGGATCCGTGCTCTAGGAGAGGGAATATCCACAGCTGTGAGATAATCCCTTCTTGGTGATGCAGTGAGTTTTCCAGAAGGACAGAGTTAAAATAAACCACAATATGTGTTTTACAGTTTTTGGACAACAACAAATCCCCGGGATCCAACAGCGTGCGATGGATCCGGCTGCTCAGTTCGAGGTTGGTGAAGAAACTGACTAAATAATGCATCGAGGAGAAAAATATTCGATCTGGAAAACTTTGCAGACAGAATACCTGCTCAGAGTTCAGCAAGGCCTTAATGCGGCTTCTCACATATTTAAAGAGATCTTTCCGAGCCAACTCTGCTCCAGGAGAGAAGATGGTGAGGTGGAAGGTCGGCTCGTAATCCATAACAGATAGCTGAGATTTGCCACGCTGGCATCGAATCCTTATGAAAGTTGTAACAGGCCTTGGCTCTGGTACAGAAGCCAACAAATCCAAACTGTGAGGCTTCTCCAGTCAGGCCGCCAAGGTCATTTCTAATTTCTGTGGTTGGCTGTTGCATGCTGCTTTATGCTGCCTGAGAAACATTAGCAGGAAGACGGCCGCGGTGCCTAGTCAAAGCGATCCAAACAACATAATATCAAATAAATAGACGTTAATGACGAAGCAGAAATCAGAAAAGGTCGAGCATTAAAGCTGCAGTATGAAAATGTTATCCAAAGTTTTTTAGGTATTTTGTCTTTATGTCATGACAGCAGAGCAAGAAAGATAATCTGTGAATAAAATAGATCTCCTCTGTCTTCTCAGTGCTAGAAACTACCAATCAGAGCCAGGGGGAGGGACTTGGTGCTGTCAATCAAGCCTGTGTGCAAGGTTCTGTCACAATAACCAAGTAAGTTATTGCAATAAACAATGTTGTTTTGAGGCCATTTTAATGGCAAAATAAGTGCAAGAACATATTCTCAAAGATCAATAAACTTTAAAACTTAATTAACATTTAACACTGAAACTGGAAGATGCTTGTTTCATTTACTCAAAAGTAAATAAAACAACAGAAAAAACTAATAAAATTAATTGTGAAGTTTCTAAACAAAATTGTCATGGCAAGTTGAGACCAAAGAAACAGACTGAGGACTTTTATCGTTCAGATTTTGGTGGAAAGACAGAAGTGATAAATCATGCAAATTGAAATTATTGAGCTTGTTTTAATTTATTATGCGATTAATTGATTTCTTGTTTGTTGCGACAGGCTTGTGCCCTCTGATATGATGCAGCTTCTCCCCGTCAGCAAAGTCTGTTGTGGATGCTAATGCTACTTAGCACATCCACTGATGGCAGCAGATAAATAGCTGTAAAGGTGGGTTGTTTCTCCACCAACAGCACATTCGGCAGCGTGTTCATGAGGATGATTGGCAGCACTCAGGCCTTCCTCCTGGCTCTGACTGGTTGTTTTTGGTTCCATTTCTTCAGGTGGAAAAAATACCGCAGCAAGGAGATGAAAGAGATCGATCTATTTACAGATTATGGGCCTCATGTTGCAGCGACTTGCTGACAGTTTCATCAAATCTATATAAAAAAACATTTTCATAAAAGTCACATCCTGCAGCTTTAAATCTCACAGCTGAAAAAAAGCATCATGAGTTCAATTTTACAGCCTGAACATGATCAGGTACATGGAAAGTGACAAGTTAAGGTCTGGGAGGGCGGCGGACTCGTTGTAGAGGTCGCACACAAACACAACAACGACACACAAACGGAGCCGACAGGAGGAGAGGACGACGACTCCACAAGCACCGCAGAATGTATGAAGAAATAGATGTAAGGGTCATTTTACTGAGCAGCACCATTAACATTGCTGCCCTTGTCTGGAATGAAGCTGGGATCAGTCTCACACACACACACACACACACACACACACACACACACACACACACGCACATGCACACACACACACACACACACATACACACACACACACACACACACACACACACACACACACACACACACACACACACGCAGGAGAAAATCCTCCTCTTTTTACATTTCTCCTCTTTTCGCCCTCAGAGACGGAGAGGTCGACATTTTAACTGCAGCGGTGAGGAGATGGCTTCCTTTCACCTTGACGGGCATATAATGAACATTTTTCATTTTGAGCTTAGCTTCACTTACCGAGTCAGTCAGCTATTTTCTCTTTGAACCTTTTTTTTCCTCCCTCTCCCCCGTTCTGACATTTCCCTCTGTGGTTTTGCCAGGATGATCTTCACAGTAAATTTGTGCCCCTTTTAAAGAAATAGGTTACATTTGTGGTGGTTTTTTTTATTTTTTTTTCAAAGCGCTGATTTCCATAAAGGTCCCCGTCTAACACAAACAGGCCTACGGTGCAGCAAGAAACACAAACAATATGCTAATCACACCTGTTTCAATTAAAGCCGGAGTGTCCATGAAATCCATATCATTACTCATTGTTCTGCATTTTGCATGAACAAAGAAAAGCTGCACTTTGAAGTAGCAGGAGCAAATATGTGACGGATGGCTGAGAGAATTTAAAATAAAACAAAATTACACAAAATATAATGAAGAATTAGAGAAAATAAAGATCTATTACGCCTAAATAAGTTTCTTTTTGCTGACAAGTGATTATAGTTAGAATGGATCAGTGCTGCAGATGGAGAACACTGCAAAAACACAAAATCTCACCAAGCATTTTTGTCCAGGTTATAGTGTAAATATCTCAGTTCACATGAAATAAGACAAAACTAACTTACAAGTAACTTTTTAGCAAGAAACATGAGCTTCTTTTAGGTCAAAAGCTCTTTAATAATAGTTAAAATGACTTATTCCATCATAACATGAGAAAATGTGCTATAAGTGAAAGAAATCAGACACTATGTTGTAAGGGATTTTTCAAATCAGTATTTAAAAAAAAAACAAGCTTATGAAATAAATGAATACTTCTATGATATTTTAATCTAATGAGATAAATCCAAATGCAGCATGGTGCATTTGGGTCCTCAGGGACGTGTGACCTTCATATTTCTGATTATTTCCAGATTCAAAAATTTAGGTCAGAACTTGATGACATGCTAAAGCAGCGAATCCCCTCATCTGAATCACCTGTGCCAGAACTGGAAACTGGAGTTGAACACCGTGGATCGAAGGGATGCAGGGGGAAAAAACGCTGGAGACATTTTAGTGTGAGAGCTTAAAGCACAGCAGCATCAAAGTTTTGTTTTTCTTTAAATGTGACTCCAGCTGTGGCAGAAAACCAGACCAAACGGGAAGTTTTGTTAGGATTTCTCCACACAAGTCTGGCAGGAAATGGACTACAACACAAGGCATTGTGGGTAAACAAATTAGTCTGTGGCTCTTGGTCACATGAGGGGGAGAAGTTAAGTTTTCAAGCTAATTTACAGGAAAATGTAGAAGGCGGGGGGAAAGAACTCCTCTAATAATATCAGAAATACAGCAAATACTTGGCAGAAATGTCTGTCAGAAAGGTTTAGGTTATGTGGAACAAAGAACCAGATGTCATACTTGGTTTGGTTCATTTGACAAACTGTCCTCAGAAAGCAAAGTTGTACCAACTCGATGCAGCAATCAAACCAAGTCCCCAACTAAACTGAACCAACCGGACTGAGGTGTAAAAATGTTGAGGTTCAATATTCACAGATTTCTCTGTGGAATGAAACTCCAAATCATCCACAAAAAAAAAACACAGTTATTAATTTATAACAATAACAGCTCAATTTCTAAGTTAACCTGAAGAAAAGTTGTACAAAAATCTGAAATTATATTAAATGTAATAATAAAGAGGCAGGCTCACAAATACGCCTGTAAAAATGTCTAG